ACCACAGAGTACACATACTGTGTCACAGTACAATAATAATACCACAGAGTACACATACTATGTCACAGTACAATAATAATACCACAGAGTACACATACTATGTCACAGTACAATAATAATACCACAGAGTACACATACTATGTCACAGTACAATAATAATACCACAGAGTACACATACTATGTCACAGTACAATAATAATACCACAGAGTACACATACTATGTCACAGTACAATAATAATACCACAGAGTACACATACTATGTCACAGTACAATAATAATACCACAGAGTACACATACTGTGTCACAGTACAATAATAATACCACAGAGTACACATACTATGTCACAGTACAATAATAATACCACAGAGTACACATACTATGTCACAGTACAATAATAATACCACAGAGTACACATACTATGTCACAGTACAATAATAATACCACAGAGTACACATACTATGTCACAGTACAATAGTAATACCACAGAGTACACATACTATGTCACAGTAAAATACTAATAATACCTCGTAAGAATACTCTGTTAGAGTAGAAGTACTAACAACACATCATAAGAGTACTCTGTTACAGTAAAATGACATCATCAGAAAGAAAGTACTGAAGGTTTCAGCAGTACTGTTCAAGCTGTAAGGAGTTTAATTTACATCAGAATGTTAATTCACAGAGAAAATAAAGTAATTAGATACACATAGTCAAGGAAGAGTATAAAGTGAAGTACAAATACCTAAAGACACACGTCTTCACACTCTACCTCCACTAACACACTAACTACCTGTAGCACTTACATTGGACTTATAATGGTTCTTATCTACAGCAAGTTGTACATCGGCTTATTTGATGAAATCACACTTTCTTGTTTCTTGTTCTTCTGAGTTTGTGTCCTTATGGTTAAATGTTCTTATTGTAAGTCGCTTTGGATAAAAGCGTCAGATAAATGACGTGTGATGTAATATTTACAACACCTTTAATGTTGAATTATGTTTTAATTGTATTAATTGTCTTTTTACTGTACGTGTGTATATTGTATACACGTCTCCAGGTCCCAGAGGATGAACCCTCCCTATTTGTCAACAACCTCCTTCTTCTGCTTCACTTTCTTGTTTCTTGTTCTTCTGAGTTTGTGTCCTTATGGTTAAATGTTCTTATTGTAAATCGCTTTGGATAAAAGTGTCAGATAAATGACGTGTGATGTAATGTAAATACCTCAACCTCAGGTAAATGTACTCGTCACAGGTCACTGTGAAGTACCATCAGTACACGTTTTTATTCTGGTGTGATGGATCATCTCCTCTAACATCTTTGTTTCCATTTCCTCCACTCTGCTCTGCCATTGGAGCAGAGCATCACGTGCACACGGAAAGAGTGGGAGGAGCATCCCGAGCACCATGACGTCACAGCAGAGTAAAGACAGCTGATGAGGACTGGACTGTCATATTAGAAGTCCCCCCTGACCTCTGACCCTCAGGTACCCGCTGAGCGGTCCAGTGTTTAAATGTTGTATAATGAAGGGTTTTTTTTACTCTGATTTGAGTCTTTCAGGCTCTTTCATCAGGAGAACAGAGGTCGTCTTTATGGTGTTTGTCCATTTTTTGCATTTAATCCGTCTCAATCCTTAATGTTTTAAATTAGGGTGTTTCCATGGGACCGTCTGAACACACGGGTGGCTTCTCTTTGTCTACATGTTGCACTCCTGGGAGGGCAGTGGGAGTACGGGGGCCGGGGGGCCGGGGGGCCGGGGGGCCGGGACCCTTCTTCTCTGTACGGCCCAAGCGAGAGCGGTTCGGTGCTCGGCAGTAAGTCTGGGCCTGGTCAACCTGTCCTGTCTCATGGTGGATTCTTGCAGATGATGTGGTCCTGAGGACCTGAAGCGGTGGGGATGAGGACATGGTTCTCAGCAGGACACCCGGGGATTCTGGATCGGGGATGTGTTCTCACTCAAGTGAAGGAGATCAAGAACCTCGGCGTGTTGTTCGCCAGTCAGGGGCAGATGGAGCGTGAGTTTGGTCGGAGCAGCGGGGGCAGTGAAAGAGAGTTGAGCTGGAAGGCAAAGCTTTCGATCTACCGGTCAACCTTCGTTCCCTCACCTCATGACCCAAAGAAGCAGTTCACGGTTACAAGTGGCTGAAAGGCGTTTCCTCGGGAGGAGGCTGGCGTCTCCCTCAGAGATGGGGGGAGTAGAGCCGCTGCTCCTTCGCGTCGAAAGGAGCCAGTTGAGGTGGTTTGGGCATCTGGTGAGGACGCTCCCTGGGCGCCTCCCTAGGGAGGTGATCCAGCCACGGCCAGCTGGGAAGAGGCCCACATGGGGACGCCTTGGGTCCCCCAGTCACAGCTGGTAGGGGCCCGGGGTCCCCTGCTGGAGCTGCTGCCCCCCCAACCCGACCCCGGATAAGAGGTGAGATGATGGGAGAGTAAAAATATTAATTGCAGCGTTGATTCTATCCAAATGCCTAAATGTGTAGATTTAATGTCAAGTGAAAGGTTATAAATGTTTCATATCACATTCTTCACGCACATGCAAACACACATATCAGAGTGCAGAGCGACCACCGGGGGGCGCCGTTGGCTGAGTTAAAGAAGAAGACATCGTAAACTAGATAAACCAAAAAGTCTGTTATTGGTGTTTTGACCGGATTCATTAAATAAAATACAAAATAAGCATTTACTCAAGTGTGTTCTTAGGTATTTAAGTACTTGTACTTTACTTGATACTCAAAAATACATACTAGTTACACCAGTGAGACAAATATATACAAATACATATACAAATATATATATATACATATATACACAAACCAGTGTATTATATATATATATATATATATATATATATATATATATATATATATATATATATATATATATATATATATACACAAACCAGTGAGACATTAAAGAGTTCCACAGGACGCACCTGAATAAAACACATTATAGGTTCAACACCATTGTACCAGTTTTTACCAGTGATATTGTTCTTGTGATTAAATCGGTGTGTATTTCAAACCTGTGTGTAGTGTATTCTAACAGTGTAAAAACTGGGAATTAGTAACATATGGATTATGATTAGTGTACATTAAATATTACTAATATTACTGACAACACTATACTGGAACTTTCGTGTGGAGCTGAGCAAATACTCGCCGTCCGCTTGCATTAATATTTGCAGCTCAATAGGGGTGAATATATTGTTTGTGGTGCTGCCTTCATACTGTGATGCTGCACGCGCTCAACTCTGAGTCAACCTACTCCTAAACAGCTGTTCTGAAACCAGAAACTCAGAGTTTAGGGTTTGACTCAGAGTTTGTTAAACCTCCTACTTGAAACGGACCCCCTTGCTCTTTCTCTCCTTCAATTCAATTCAATTCAATTCATTTTATTTTGTATAGCCCAAAATCGCAAGTTACAAATTTGCCTCAGAGCGCTTTACAGTCTGTACACATACAACATCCTCTGTCCCGAAACCCACCATCGGCACAGGAAAAACTCCCCAAAAAATGAAAAAACCCTTCCAAGAGGGAAAAAAAGAAACCTAAGAAACCTCAGGGAGAACGTCAGAGGAGGATCCCACTCCTACAATGGATGCCATGTGTACAGAATGAACAATGTATAATACATGCAATTATATGACAGAAATGATTCAAGTAATTGTGAGTAATAAGTCAGACTCTAACAGATGTCTCCAAGACTTTCTTGAAGTCTAACTAGCTGATCGGTCTCTTCTGGCTTGGTCGACAGATACAGTTGAGTATCGTCTGCATAACAATGGAAGTTTATGCCTTAAATAAAATCGGTCCAGGTACAGAACCTTGTGGGACTCTGTGACCAACATTGGTGGTCTTTGAGGATTCACCGTTTACAAGCACAAACTGGGATCGATCCGATAAGTAGGATTTAAACCAGCTGAGTGCAGTTCCTTTGATACCAATTGAATGTTCTAGTCTCTGCATCAGGATACAATGGTCTATGGTATCAAATGCGGCACTGAGGTCCAGCAAGACAAGAAAAGAGATGAGTCCTTGGTCCGATGCAAGTAGAAGATCATTCGTAATTTTCACCAGTGCTGTTTCTGTACTGTGATGCGCTCGAAATCCTGACTGGAAATCCTGGAACAAAGTATTGTTTTGTAGAAAGTCACATAATTGATTTGCGACAGATTTCTCAAGGATCTTAGAGAGGAAGGGAAGGTTAGAGATAGGTCTGTAGTTAGCCAACACCTCTGGAGCAAGAGTAGGTTTCTTAAGAAGAGGTTTAATTACAGCTACCTTGAAGGACTGTGGTACATGTCCTGTCAACAAAGACAGATTCATAATATCTGAGTCCCCTCCTCTTCTCTCTGTACACCAACTGTCTCGGCTCTGTCATCCACTCACATGGCTCCTATCGTCGCCGATGACAGCCAACTAATCCCCACTTTTCCTCAATCCGACACACCGGCAGCAGCATGTCAGCCTGTTTGACTGACATCTCTCAGTCGATGGCCGCACACCACCTGAAGATTAACCTTGACAAGACTGAACTCCTTTTCCTTCCAGGGAAAGACCCTCTCCCACTAACAACCTGACCATTGCCTCTGACAACTCTGTCCTAACCCCACCCTGAAGGCTAGCAACCTGGACCAGGTAGCACCTCTACCCACTACACCTGGACCAGGTAGCCCCTCTACCCACTACACCTGGACCAGGTAGCACCTCTACCCACTACACCTGGACCAGGTAGCACCTCTACCCACTACACCTGGACTAGGTAGCACCTCTACCCACTACACCTGGACCAGGTACCACCTCTACCCACTACACCTGGACTAGGTAGAACTTTATTAGCACGTACTTACAGCACTTTGTAGTTTGGCTTTCTTGTTCTGGTCCCTCTTGGACAGCACTTGTTGTAAGTCGCTTTGGATAAAATCCTCAGCTAATTGGAACATTTAAATGTAAATGAACCATCAACAACAGTTATTACCAACGACCAATGAGACCAATTCATGTGACGTTTTCAGAAGCTATAAATATTTATTTCATTTAAATAAGTAAAATTATTAAATACATGTAAAGCTTATATGAAGACTAGTTTAGATCCATGATGTGTCAAACAGTACAACCATCAAATCTTCCGACCCGTTAATTCAATGTGGCAATTACCCACAGTTCATAGCGGTCAAACGTGTTGTTAGCATGGGCAGTTAGCATGTAGCTTTTTGGTGACTCATCACAGACTGGTTTCTAGAGGAAAGTCTGTCCCTGTGTAAAAACGTGGTCAGGTGGAGTTCCTCCTGCTGCCCAGGGCCGGGCGGGGGCCTCGTGGACCCCCTCCTCTGTAGGGAGGAGTGGGCGTTCCTCATGTGGTTCCTGAAGGTCCTGGTGGAGTAGTAGTACAGCAGCGGGTTCACCACGCTGTTGGACGCCGCCAGACACAGCGTCACCACCACGGCGCGCTGCAGCGTCACCGTGGCGCCGCAGTCCCAACCGCCGCACACGGCGTGCAGGTGCAGGGTCCGGATCACGTGGTAGGGCAGGAAGCAGAGCAGGAAGGTGGCCGTCACCGCGGCGACAAGGCGCAACGAGCGCTGGGCGGTGCGACGGCGGACGCCGCCTGAAGCACCTCCGCCGAAGCGGGTCGCCAAGCGCAGGACGATGCGGCTGTAGCAGACGATGATGGTGAGGAACGGCAGCAGGAAGCCCAGAGCCAACGCCACGTAGTTGAGGATCAGGACACGCCCCCAGGAGGAGGGGCTAGACGGCTCGAAGCAACGAGGAATCTCCATCCTGAAAGACAGAAGCAGTGGATTCTTCTGGGCCTTCAGAGAGTAAAGAAACAGCCGAGCTTGTCTTATAAATGCACAGCAGAAGAAGGACCTCTCTCCAGAGGAGGGTTCATCCTCTGGGACCTGGAGATGTGTATACAATATACACACGTACAGTAAAAAGAAAATTAATACAATTAGAACATAATTCAACATTAAAGGTGTTGTAAATATTACATCACATGTCATTTATCTGACGCTTTTAACCAAAGCGACTTACAATAAGAACATTTAACCATAAGGACACAAACTCAGAAGAACAAGAAAGTGTGATTTCATCAAATAAGCCGATGTACAACTTGCTGTAGATAAGAACCATTATACGTCCAATGTAAGTGCTGCAGTTAGTTAGTGTGTTAGTGGAGGTAGAGTCTGAAGACGTGTGTCTTTAGTCTGAAGATGTGAAGGCTCTCTGTGGTCCTGATGTCTTCAGAGACCTCCTTCCACCATTTAGGAGCAGGACAGCAAAGAGTGGAGATCTAGTGGAGTGTTTTGCTCTCGACTAGCGAAGCCGGAGATGAAGTCGGCCTTGCGAGGAGCTGCCTGGCAGGTCCAGAGGGCTCCTGTGACGAGGTGCTGGACGCGTGTGGAGCAGGTGGGATCGGTGAGAGAGGGGAGGTTTCGATAGAGAGCAGATCTAGCACGAGGCCTGTAGTATCTACGGTACAGGGACAGGTACAGGGGTCAAACACATCATTAAAATAGCAGAAGAAGGCGCCGCATTCAGCCGCCCTGAAGACTCCCTGGTCTTTGTCCTGCTCGTCTTGGTGCTGCGAGGCTTCGCTTCCCTCTTGAGGGATAAATAAAGTATCTGTCTATCTATCCAACGCTTCACTGAACCTCTAGTTAAATACTCCCTCGTTAGTGGGAGTCGGCTACGGCAGCGCTGGCCCCTCCCCCGTCGGTTAGGAGACGAAAGGTCGATTGGCTTCGACAGAAACTCCTCAAAATGCAAAACACCAATCGCCTGACACGCTAATCAGTGAACATATCAAAGGTAATAAATAATAAAACCCACCTGATCGTCACCCCGTCGGTAAGGAAGGGGACAGAGGACACGCCCACAAACAGCCAGACTCCCAGACAGACCAATAGGGTTCGAAGGGGCGTGACCACAGCGCGGTGATGGAGGGGATGATTGACAGCAAACCAACGAAGCACACTCAGTAGAGTCAGGAAGAGGATGCTGAGGAAGGGGGAGGGGCTTAACTTTATTATGTGTATCTGGGTGTGCGAGTGAGTCTGTGTGTCTGTTTGTGCGTTACCTTGTGTACAAGTTGAGGTAGAAGCCGAAGACGCACAGTCTGCACAGCCAATCAGGGAAGTCCCAGACTCCGCCCCTGAAGTAATAAGCCAATCGTAGTGGGAGGGTGAGGGAGAAGCTTCCGTCTGATAGGGCGAGGTTCATCATGACCACGGAGGAGGGGGAGCTCCTGGGCAGGTAACATGAAGGAGACACCTGTAAGTTTATTTACATTCTGCATGAGAAGCAACTCTAAGAGTTTGTATGATTAGAAGATATCTAAATATATTAAAGGTCTTTAAAAATTGAAGCCTCCTATCTTCAAAGGATTAAGCAAAAAATAAACTTCAAAAATGTTGTTATTAACATGATATTGATTGAAGGTTATATAATTATATACATGAATATACATTAACATGAAATAAACAGGGTTTAAGAAAATTAATATTTAACAATAAAGTAGTGAATATAAAAGGAAAGTAAAAAAAACTACAGTTAGTTAAAAGAGATGAAAGAGTGAAGTTAAAAAATAGTCATTTTCTATTATTTAATATATAAAGTTTTAAACCGTTGAAACTTTTACATTTAAATACATTTAAAAAGATGGAAAAGATAAATAAGTAAAAGAGATGTGATAAGAGATGTCACGAAGTTGAAAGAATGTTGTATATTACCTGTTATGTCACCTGTATTGTATAAACACGTGATATTGCATTTAAATCTTCATGAAAATGAATGAATTCAATATTGTAATAAACATCTAAAGATATTTAGAAAAGTTTGAAGAAATGAAAGAAAAAGCTGAAACCTTTAAAACATAATTAGTGTTTTTGACTTAAAAGCACTTAAATATGAAAATAAAACAGTCAACGACATCAAGCAGATGAAGAAGGGATGTAAATGTTTTCGCCAGCTGGTAAACCGATATGCAAATATTAACCGTCCTTTGAACGGTTTATGATGCAGCAGCTGTGAACACAGAAACAAGCTGCTGGTGTTTTACTTTGAAAGGGTTCCGTGTTGATAATAATGTGAAGTTTAATCACACGCGTGAACCAAGGAAGCTTCATCTCTCAACATCAACCGACAACAATCACAAAACAGCCCTCTGGAGGCTTTTAGAGTTAAATATATACATCAGATTGATGCTAAGCTAACCCCGCTGGGACCTGAGGCTACTACAGGCAGGCTCCTGGCTGAGTGGAAGTCAATGGAGAGAAAGACTTTTGTACGTCTCGATGATAAAAGTGAAGAATTAATAGAAGTGAATGGAGAGAAACACTGTGTGTGTGTTGGGGATGAATGGAAGTCAACGGAGGGGACACCAACCTCCGGCTGCCCAGCAGGAAGAAGACGGCGAGCGCTCCGATGTTGCTGAGGATCGCCAAGGGAAACAGCAGCAGGTAGGTGACGGTGTAGGCGCGGTACTTGAAGGCATCGTCGCCATGGAAACAGGCCGCCAGCGAAACCGAGGAGTTGTTGCAAGCGTTCCCCATGGGAGTGTGTGACAGGCCGACTGACACAGACACACACACATCGAGCATTAGCAAAGTAAGGGAGGGTGTGTGTGTGTGTGTGTCTGTGTGTGTGTGTGTGTGTGTGTGTGTGTCTGTGTGTCTGTGTGTGTGTGTGTGTGTGTGTCTGTCTGTGTGTCTGTGAGTGTGTGTGTGTGTGTGTCTGTCTGTGTGTCTCTGTGTGTCTGTGTGTGTGTGTGTGTCTGTGAGTGTGTGAGTGTGTGTCTGTGAGTGTGTGTGTGGTATGTAAACCAGCCAGGTAGTTTTAAACAAAGCCACATTCACTGTACACCGTGTACTCTGTGTACTCCGTGTACACCGTGTACTCTGTGTACTGTAATATAACATACCAAGTAGAATATCTATATTTTAACGTTATGCATGAATTACATTACTTGATATTTATAGACTTCTAGAACACGGCTGTGACCTTTGACCTCCTCCTCTGTCCTGTTTACACTCGGCCCAGCGGAGACTTTACTCCCAGAAGAAGACGGACTATGAGAAGACGAATGTTGTCGTTGTTGTTGTTGTGAGAACATTTTATTTGTAGAAGGACACGCGTGTGATTCTGTATTTAATGCTCGTTACATTTAACACACACACGAAGGTCTTTGACTGTAAATGTTCTTCAGCTGTGATGGTGTGTCACATCATACGTGACATGGTACACGCGTGTGGTTTTTAAGGCTCTTAATGAGGGGTTCAAAGGTCATGAAGCTCTTTAAATAAATACAAGTATTATTATTCATATTATTAAATGTTCACTCACCGTTTAACCGTCTGCTTCTGCTCCGACGTCGGATCCTCTGAGAGACGTTAGTGGGTGTGACACACACACACACACACACACACACACACACACACACACACAGGCAGAGAGCCAACGTTAACAGACACACAAACACACACATTCCTCAGCTCTTCTTCAACAGACGGAAATAACTTACTTTCAATTCTCAAGAAAGAAACGTGACGAGTTTTCCTCGACAAGTACTTACAGGATACATGAGACGAGAGACGCACACACACACACACAGACACACACACACGCACACACACACACTCTCACTCACACTCACACGCACTCACACGCACACACACACACACACACACACACACTCTCACTCACACGCACTCACACGCACACACACACACTCACACACGCACACACGCACACACAGACACACACACACACACGCACACACACACACGCACACACAGACACACACACATGATGTATGGATTTAGCTCTGGATCCTTACTTAGTTATTTATACAACTTATATGAAAAGTCCTCTATAGATGTATAAATAATCAATAACTAAACAGATATTCTTTGTTAAGTTGAACATTTATCAAACACATACTTTTACTTCAGAATAAAAAAGTGTAGAACTGAACAAAATGATCAAAAGCGGAGAAAAAGAAGTCAGATAGAAATGAACATGATGAGATATAAAGTGGAGACTCTGATTTGCACGTGATGCACCTGAAGGTCACACGAAACCTGCTCGCCTCCTTTCCTTGCTTCCTCTGTGTCCTCACGCCCTTGTGGTTTGGCTCCAGTGACCTCAAAGCCTAGTTTGTGCTTCTGTGTTGTCAGAGACACGCCAGGGACACGCCAGGGACACGTGTCCCTGGCGTGTCCCTGGCGTGTCTTTTCACACCTCCTTGCGTGTAAAGCTTTGCAGCGTCCTGCAGCAGCAGGCTGTGATTGGTCTCTGACTACGTCCTTTAGAGTCTCACGTCTCCGTTTTCACAGCACAATACGGCCGTTATTAAAAGGTAGAACGTTGACGAGAGAACGGATCAGACTGAAGAGCTTTTGTACGAGTCGTCATCGGCGGAGCAACATGACAAAGTTTATTTGAGTTCTGCGTCCTGCAGGTTAACGTGCACGGACCATCTGTGGCAGTTTAACAACATGAAAAAAGGCGCTCGTATTATTTAGTCCCTAAGAGCATTTTGATTGGTTATTAAGAAGGAGGCGGCTCCTGCTTAGAACCCCGGAGAGCCTCATTGGAGCACAGGGACGTCCGTCCCTCTGGGATCATCTCGCCTCCGTTGCTCATGAGTTCTTCATATCGGGATGATCTGCACATGAGCTCCATGCGTGGACACGTTGGTCTTAGAAAGGGCAGCAGGTGCTTCCTGTTGGACGGCATTTGACCCGATGGCGTTGCATCTTTTTGCAGCACGTTCGTGTTCTGATGTTGTGACTTGAAATACACGTTGTTTGTGAAATCCGGCCTTTAAGCGGCTTCACCCATTATTATAGTTCAAGTGTCATTTTATTCTAGCGTGATACCAACAAACGTCGGAGTAAATAAAGCAACCAAAGACGTGACTCTCCAGGTCGTCTTCAACAAAACACGTGACTCCACCTGTTGTTCTGGAGGTGAATCGCTCTGCAACACACGCAGGACTTTACGACCAGGAAGTGAAACCAGCGCGTCGACACGTAAAGACGCGTAAAGCTGTGAAGATGTGAAGCTGTGAAGGTGTGAAGGTGTGAAGCTGTGAAGATGTGAAGCTGTGAAGATGTGAAGGTGTGAAGCTGTGAAGGTGTGAAGCTGTGAAGGTGTGAAGGTGTGAAGCTGTGAAGGTGTGAAGCTGTGAAGATGTGAAGATGTGAAGCTGTGAAGGTGTGAAGGTGTGAAGCTGTGAAGGTGTGAAGCTGTGAAGGTGTGAAGGTGTGAAGCTGTGAAGGTGTGAAGCTGTGAAGATGTGAAGATGTGAAGCTGTGAAGGTGTGAAGGTGTGAAGCTGTGAAGGTGTGAAGCTGTGAAGGTGTGAAGCTGTGAAGTGCACAGCCGTAAGGTTTCTCTCAGGTTTCCATGGTTACGCCAGTTTGAGGATCACAACTGGTGACTAATCCCAGTTCAGACCCGCTGCGTGAATACAATCCACACATCTACTGACACGGCGCTGCGTCTCTGGCTTCCTCTGGTGATCATCAATCTCTTTCCCATCTGGGAAATGAGTTTTTGGGGTTTTGACCTCTGAGGCTTCAGACATCCAGACGACCTGAGGACTTCTTCTCCCTTAAGCCGCTCAGCTAAACGTGGCTTGTTTGGGCTGTTTTTAAGCGGCTGCAGATTCTGCCGTATTGGGCTGAAGGGACAGCGTTCCCTCTTGTCTTTGCTTTCCCCTTTGAGGCAAAGTGGAGTCCAACCATTGAAAGACTCCGTGCGTCCAGCAGAGAGAAGGTTGGTTGTTGTTCTGCAGTTTGAGGAGTTTCTCCTCCGCTGACGAGGGCGTATGAACACGGGTTGGTCGTCGCGCGGAGACGAGGAGGACGGAGAAAGGGAGGCTGAGACGTCATTGTCCTGAAGGAAATGTGTCTCCAGCCGTAGTGTCCGCTGTGTACAAAATGCAGACAATAACATCGCGCACATTCGGCACATTTCACACCTCTGTGTGGTGCGAGACAAAGAGATGAAAAATGAAATGAAATAAAGATCCAAACCAGTAGAAGTCTGCGCTCTCGCTGTTCTTCGATGGACTGAGGACACAGGAGTTCTTCAGGCGTCTGAGGCGTCTGATGGTTTCATCCACTGGGCGACCATCTTCGTGATGGTGCTCATGTTGTAGATGCTCAGGTATCTGAGAGTCGACCTGCTGGGTTCTTCTCATGGGGAGTCGTCTCCAAAGGGTTTACGGTTAAAACCATCTCCTCTGTTTATGTGTAAAGGCTCTGACTGCTAATTCTTAATGATGTGTTTGCTCTGTTTGAATCTCTCTCGTCATTCCGCCGTGTTCCACTTTGACTGCAGGAACCTCGGCGCCACGTCGCCAGCCGACTCCCCCCGACTCCCCCCGACTCCCCCGACTCCCCCAACTCCCAACATCACTGACTACGCCACCCTGTAGATACTCGCTCTACAGACCCGACACCCCGACCTCTGACCTCTCCGCTCTGCATGTGATAAACTGCTCGTTCCTCCTCACTGAGAGCAAAACGCTCGACTGGATCTCCTCCTCTTTGCTGTCTGAAGACATCAGGACCACAGAGAGCCTCCACACCTTCCGCCGCAAACTAGTGGTGCATAATGAAAATATGGAAAGTGGTTTCATAATAAAGATATAAAGATAATAAAATATAGTTATTTATCAACCAATAAATGCGTTTATTAAATCACATTTGGTTTCATTTCCATATTAAACGGTCCCAGAAAATGTTGATCAATTTAAAATCAGAAATTAAAATATGAACTTATTAATCAAATAAATACATAGATGATCCGAGCAATCATCAAATACAAGAGACATATTTTAATAAACACCAAAGAAAAAGAAGCTTTATTTGAGTGAGGGTTTTAATATCTGATCTTCTATACAGCTTCTCCTTAGAGGTGGCAGAAGGGCTGGAGTCTGTCCCCCCTGGACTGGTCCCCCTGGACTGGTCCCCCTGGACTGGTCTCTAGCCACGGGACGGGCCGACTGTTACTATTTATAATGTCGCTGACATCTACGGTTATCAGAGACATTCAGCGTTATAAGTACTTCTTTGTCAATGTTTCACCCTTGGACAATAACTTTGTTGACGATAAAGTACAGCCTCTCGTAGCTTTAATATAAATACTCTGTCCCTGAATGTGTGTTTCTTCTTCTGGCATCAGTTTAAATAATGTCACTCGCTATTGTTGGACGTTGGAAGAACGTCTGTTTCACTTCATATCTTGTTATTTTAACAAAGATATTTTTAATGATTTAGAGAAATAACTTCTTATGTGTTAAACAAATGAGGTTGAAGTACTTACGAAGGACGTAACACTTGACTAGCTGAACATTTACGCAGTAGTAACAGTACAAGCACATCAGCACATGAAAGAAAGTACACACATCTTAAACATCTGTGCACAGAAGGTTTTAGCGTGTTGAGTATCACAGCTTGCTCTCGAGGGTCACGCAGTCCTTTTCTTGACCAATCCCGTAGCTGTGTGGAGTCATGACTCCGCCTTCCGTGTCATCTGCTGACATTTAAATAAGTGTCAGTAAAAACATTTCTGTCGTTTATAATGAGTAACAATCACAAAGGGTTAAATGATGAGGAAAAAGTTAAATAAATAAATATAATTGACAAATTCATCTGTAAACCAAATAGCATCAAAACTGAAGTACAAATGAAACACTGTGACGTCTTGTATCGCTAACGTTACGGAGACCCGTTTCAGTATAAAAGCATCGCAGTGAGGACATTCTGCTTTGAGAGGACAATTCGTCCAGACCTAACTAGTTTCTTTGAGCGTGACCACTGACCTTTGACCTGCCGGGACAGGAGGCGTGGCCCTGCCAGTCCGATACCCAGCGCCCCAATGGGAGCCGTGGTCAGGATGGCTAATACGGCTAACGTTAGCACCTCCAAACCGAACTTAATCAAGGTCTCATCCCCTTCCTCTCTCGCCAAGTCCAAGGCCTTGGAGCCAATAGCAGCCTGGAACACAACGAAATATACGATTAAAACCCTGCTTCTCAGCACGGAACGCACATGACAGCTTCAGGGCCTCTTTCAACGGGTTGTAGAGGTCATTCAGGAGGTCCTAGCAGAGTAGCTTCTACGTGTCCTTTTGATGGTCACTTCAAGGGGTTCTTGTGTAGTTCCAGAGGTTCTAGGAGTCCTGTAGGGGATTCCAGTGGTTCCCAACAAAACTCTGATGGGGAATGAAAAAGCTCCACCTTGAGCTACACTCTTTTTTTGAACACTAAGGGTTCCATTAAGAACCCTTCATCCAAATAACCTTTTTTGAAGGGAGTTTTTCCAGGATTCTTGATAGAACATCTGACCCTTATGGTTCTAGATGAAACCCTCACATAGAAAAGGGTTCATGAGTGGGTCCATGTTCACACCCCTTGAAGGTGGAAAGGTTCTGGACAGAACATTGAGTGTAACTGTTATACAATAGGAGGGTGATCTGTAGAAAACGGTGCAAGAAGGTCCTCTTTAGAGGAGAAGCCAAGGAACCCTACTTGGTTCTAGTCATCAACTTTACTTCCGTTTAAATAGGCCTGTATACTTAATACGTTATGTGAAGTCCTGGCTGGTGAAGCACAGGGGAGCCATGAACCCCAGAACCATTAAACCCTGCAAGTTAGGACCTGACGTGGAGGACAAGGAGGCCCTCTGGGCACTACTGCAGAAAGCAGACTTTAGATCTAGATAGTTCCTAATCTAGTAATTGTCTTGTTGTGTTGACGTTGGAGGTTTCTCTAATGGTTAAAGAACAGTGTAATCGCAGCATGGTTTCTTCTTATATGATACTGTGGAGCTGTAACACCCTGGGCCGGTTTCCAGAGGCCTTTCTTTTGTCTCCCCCTCGAGGCCTACACGTACTTTGCTGTTTACTTGAAATGTAATAAACTACAAACACATTTATTCACTGTCATTGATCGTATATGACTTAACTGATAACATAATGCAATATCTTTTAGGGTCTGGTCATGTCAAGTCAGTGTGTTGGTTAGAGGGTTCCCGTAATTGATTTGATGGGCCCTGGTACTAGTAGGTACTAGGATATCATTGACGGAGCAGACAACGAGAAGGTCTTGGGGGTCGTTGGGTGGTTCTTGTGGTCAGTGAACAGCTTCTAGGGGTTCTGCAGACCTGTACGGTGGCTTTGGGCAGCCATGCGACAGAGATGAAGAGTTTCTCCTTCAGGTTAAATCCTCCGTAATGAACCAGTAAGAAGGTGACGAGCAGGCGGACCACCAGACCAATACTGATGCAGGCCAGACCGAGACCTGCAAACCCAAGAGAGTATAACCTACTTAAAACACATCTGCAAGTTCAGGCCGACAAGCTTGTTAATAGAAGGTCCACTTCGTGGTTCCTGAGACCAGGTTCAAATGATGTGCTGTTCACGCATGGTTCTCACCCACGGTGCTGGGGCTGAGGGTTGCAATGGTGATCTCCGCTCCAATCAACCCGAAGAGGAGCGGCTGGAACACGTCCCAAGACGTCCCCACCATGGCTGCCACCGGGGCCTGGACACAAGAAGACAACCGCTGACCTCAGACCGTCTGGAGGAAGCCCATTGACACGGTTCAAAGGCAACGCTGAGGTTGTGCAAACAGGTTTGGATCCGGATTAACGTGATCCAGATGTGCAATACCTTGTCGGTCTTCCATCCCAGCGCAGCCAGGAAGGCCAGAACCAACGTGCAGAGACCACCGGCTCCGGCGAAGCCAATGACATGACTGAAGAAGACCGAAAATATGGACAGACCCAACAACATGAGAGTCCTCCTCACCACCAGATCCTCCTGCAGATGGACATACGGCACATTTAGAACATTTAATAAACTACTGTCAAGATTTAAATGGAACCAGACTCTCACCTGGTCTTTACTGGGGAAGCAGCACAGGAACAGACCCAGAATCAGCCCGGCGATGACCCCCCCCACCACCTCCAGGAGGCCCTTCAGTATGTTCATCCACGTGGAGCCTGCAGGATAAAAACAGCATGTAGAACCCAATGGAACCCGATGGATGTTGAGCATGATTTCCAGTACGGACCTGTGGAGAAGGCGATTCCCAGGCAGGTGGAGAACCCGGTTATGGCCAGAATGTCATCAAAGCTCCCGGCAGCCATCAGGAGGGTGGGGATCCCCTGGACAACAACACGGAACCTCAATAGAACATTGATGGAATATCACATCAATACAACAAATACGTTCTCTGCCTATTATGGGTCATACTGGCAGGACTTAGAAAGGTTCCACAGGTTCTTGAAGATGTTTTACTGGCCGGTTAGGAGGTTCTATGGTCCTCTAAAGGGGCTCTAGTGGCCCGCTGAGGAGTTTTGGGTTGTACCTTAAGGGGTCGGGTGATCGTCCTGGTCCTCCTTATGCTGCGTTCCACGCCATAAGCAAAGCGAATGGTTCGTCGCGGCTTCACTCGCCCGACTAGGTTGAAGTTATTCCGCTTCATTCGCAGTCATTCGAGCAGTT